TCTAACACGCACTGGGGGAACATAACCGGTGTTGACACAGGAACACACTCGGTTACAACAGTGGCGACGCAGGTGAGCACTCCAGACGCGGGTGAAGACACAAGACCACTCGGTTACAACAATAAGTATTGGTAATATTTATGACGGTAGTGCTAGTCAGAGGTGAGGCGGATTTAAAGCCGGCGCTGAGGCTCATATGCCCTCGATCTCAACAAGTGTGAATCTGGGTATTCTACTCCAATTAAATGCATTTTTGAGGCTCGGAGCACATCAGTGCTTGCCTTGGTTTCCGCCCTCTCAACTCTATATATTAAAAGCTGTCTCATTCTACTAGGTTTGGGCTAGGGTGCTGCTGCTAGAGATAATATGTCACTGCTAAGAGTGCTAATTGTTTATCCTATATATGTTGAGTAATAAGCAATAAGCAGAGCAGACGGGAATATGAGCTTACCCTCGTCATTTTTTCGCCTGAAGTGACTGTGTAAGACAACCTGGTTTGCTCTTTCGGAGGTTTTAGCGTGTACGTTGGCCCTTTGCGGGGGAGTGCAGATCAGTAGATGCGTGCAGACTTGCCAGCTAGGAATGACTTCGCACGTAGTGGCCAGTTTTCCCAATCCGCACTCGTGCCGGGGCAACAAACTATTGTGCGACGCTACTAGCCCGACAATTAATGCTAGCCCTAACGAACATGCATAGCGTCAGGGGTTAGGTTGGTACTATCCGCTCCTTCATTTAGGCCCACGCATAAAACCCCTAGCACCACCGGTCGCGTTGTTACGAAAGCGGGATCTTCCATGCACTCACAGCAGTTACCGGAAAGGACAGACCAACTGCGTCATGCCCGCAGCCCAGACCTCCCTGGTGCGTCACGCCCACATGCATGCCGCCCGCGCCGTGCGTCGAGCAAACCAGACGACCACCCACATAGCGGGGGCAGTGGTCGTAGTCGAGACGAGTATAGAATAACTGCTCGCATACTATACGCTAGGACTATTCTGGAAAGACCGGAGCCATATAAATATACCAGAGTGGAGAAGCTAAAGGACGACTCCGACGACTTAG